TATTAAAAAACATAATGTAAAATAAATAAAAAAATTGAAAGTCGACCCTTGCAGGGAGTCGAACCCGGGACCTCCGTGCCTTCAAATCTGAATTTCACACAGAGCTACCAACTGAACCATGCTTCACATGACAGGCCCGCGAATATACAGTTTAAAACACCTCCTCCCGGTTAGTCAACAAAACATATTTTGGGCCATTTTCGGCACACTAATGGGTCTATAAATATGTTCTCGGGTACAGTTGTTCGTCACATTAAACTCTAATGTCTGCCCCACTTTGAAATTTATAGGTTAATATTATAGGGAGTTACGGGGTGTGATGTGTGCGTGCCTCCTGAAACGACTTTTGTCCCTTTTTCAGTCATTATTCGCTATTTAACAAAAAAATAATAATTTTTTTTCATATACAGAACACTTTATTCATTAAAAAATATTGAAGAAGATGCTAAGCTAAATATACGCAAAGCAGGGATATAATATTATCCCATATATAGCATATAATATAGCAGGGATATAATATCTCCCTATAATATTATCCCTTAAATTTCAAACTGGGGCAGACATTAGAGCTTAATGTGACGAACAACTGTACCCGAGGACATTTTTATAGACCCATTAGTGGGGCGAAAATGGGCCAAAATATGTTTTGTTGACTAACCGGGAGGAGGTGTTTTAAGCTGTATATTCGCGGGCCTGGCATGTGAAGCATGGGTCAGTTGGTAGCTCTGTGGGAAAGTTAGATTTGAAGGCATGGAGGTCCCGGGTTCGACTCCCTGCAAGGGTCGATTTTGAATTTTTTTTATTTATTTTATATTATGTTTTTTAATTCACTTTTCGTTAATTTAACTTGAATGAAGTGTTCTGTATAAAGAAATAACTATTTTTCCTTCATGAAATAGCGAATAATAGCTAATAAGCAGATAAATTTTGATTATTTTTTATTTATTTATTTATTTTATTTAATGTAATTTTTTTATCTTCTTTCTCAATATTTTTAAGTGAATAAAGTGTTTTATAAATGAAAAAAATTATTTTTCTTTGTTAAAGAGCGAATAATGGCTGAAAAAGGGACAAAAGTCGTATCAGGAGGCACGCACACATCGCACCCCGTTACTCCCTATAATATTACCCTATAAATTTCAAACTCGGCCTGAAATTAGAGTCTAATGTAACAAACAATTTTACCAAAGGAATTTTTTATAGACACATTAGTGGGCCGAAAATGGTCCAAAATATGTTTTGTTGACTAACCGTTAGGAGGTGTTTTAAGCTGTATATTCGCGGTATATTCGCGGGCCTGGCATGTGAAGCATGGGTCAGTTGGCAGCTCTGTGGGAAAATTAGATTTGAAGGCACGGAGGTCCCGGGTTCGACACCCTGCAAGGGACAACTTTGAATTTTTTTAATTTATTTTATAGAATGTTTTTTTAATATACTTTTCGACAATTTAGCGTGAATGAAGTGTTCTGTATATAGTAATAACTATTTTTCCTTTATGAAATAGCGAATAATAGCTAATCAACAGATAAATTCTGATTATTTTTTATTTATTTATTTATTTATTTATTTATTTATTTCATTTAATATTATTTTTTTAACTTCTTTTTCAATATTTTTAAGTGAATAAAGTGTTTTATATATGAAAAGAATTATTTTTCTTTGTTAAAGAGCGAATAATGGCAGAAAAAAGGCAAAAGTCGTATCAGGAGGCACTCACACATCACACCCCGTTACTCCCTATAATATTAACCTATAAATTTCAAACTGGGCCTGAAATTAGAGTTTAATGTAACAAACAATTGTACCAAAGGAACTTGTTATAAACTAATTAGTGGGACCTCAATGGGCCAAAATAAGTCTTGTTGTCTAACCGAGAAGAGGATATTTAAGTTAAATATTCGCGGGGCTGATATGTGAAATGTGGCGCAGTTGGTGGCGCTGTGGGCAAGGTTGACATGTAGTTCTGGGTTCGAAACCCTGCAAGGGTCGACTTTAAATTTTTTTTACTTATTTTATATTATGTTTTTTAAAAGAAGAAATTCGAAGTCTATATTGTGTATAAAAATATGGTCATATATCTCCCTGTAATATTAGCCTTTAATATTCAAATAGGACCACGTATTATATTACCGGGTTATGGAGTACCCTCCCTGAGGAAATAATTATAGACCTCATAGGGGATACTCAATGTGGCCCTGTAGTTTACTATGTATGTATATCTAAAATAGTCTTCTGTAAAGCTTTAAAATTTGGAAATTCGTCTTCTAAAGAGCTTTAAAAATTCGAAGTCATTTTTCAATATTAACTAACGCATGGCCCGATATCAGACCTTAATATTGACCCATAATATTTTAATTGGTCCATGTATTATATTACCGGGTAATAGTGTACTCTACCAGAGGAAATAATCATAGACCTCATAGGGGATACACAATGTGGCCCTTTAGTTTACTATGTACGCATATCTAAAATAGTCCGCTCAATCGCTTTAAAATGAGGAAATTCGTCTTCTAAAAACCTTTATGACGAGGCGATTCGAAGTCAATTTTCAATATTAACGCAAGGCCCGATATCAGACCTTAATATTGACCCATAATATTTTAATTGGACCACGTATTATGTTACCGGGTATTAAATAGTCTGATGATCGAATGATGGGGCAAAAAAAAAATTTTTTTTTCCCTTTAAATTAAAAAATTTTTTATTTATAAATAATTTATTAATACTCAAGTTGCTTGAAAGATGATATGTTCCCTACTAATGACAACGAAGTTTTTTGTTTTATCAAGGCTTAACTCGATCTGCCGTCTCACGCTGGCGCTGCGGCAAGCGTCTGCGGCAGATCGTGTTAAGCCTTGGTTTTATTCAGTCATTTATTTATATTTATTATGTCCGACATTGTAAAAAAGAAAAAAAATGCATTTTTGGCCTTGAGTGACAATGGCTTTTTTCAATTTGAATACTTCCATTTGAACGGGTTAGCAACATGTACAGAAATAGGCAACCGGATCCTTTACATAATTATGAAATCAGTTCGTAAACAAACAAAAGTCTGTGATGAACATTTCACCAAGCATACTCTTAATTATTTAATGAAAATAGTTTGAAATATTCCAGTATGTGCATCAGCATTAGATAATGTCAATTAAGAATGGTGTGTGAATGGTTTTTTATTTCTCATAGTAATAAGCGCAATAACGTGTTCTTAATCTTTCAACATAGGAATTATTTATATAAAAGCTAAGCAATTTTGCATTGCACATTTAAATGCTACTAATATATTTTAAAGAAAATTTTGTGTAACATTTTTTTATATTTGGGCCGTGGAAATTTGTCAAACCTAGTGCCGGTATAAATGTAGTTGCTTTATCTTTATAATTATACAAGTTCAATGAGTCTAAATTGCTGTAAAGACCGTTTTTCTATAATCTTTTTAATTCCTTTTTTTCTCCCTTTTTAAAATTGGTTAACCGTAGTTTTTGCAACCCTATTAAACTTTTATTACCTTAATCACTTATTGCAGTAAGTTTATTTTACCTTGTTATATCAAGTACCTCATTATGGAAAGATTTCTGTATCATGATCTATAGCTGAATAAATGCCTAGTTTTGGCAGCTTTCATGCAGTGGTCCTTGAGAAACTAAAAAAAATAACGTAAAAGGGAGCCTACTGAAAGGATATTACTCATAGCCATCCTCAGACAAATTTCTACTTGTTTGATTTATTTTTTTTAGTTTGCAAATTTAAAAATAAATTGTTACCTTATAGTCGGTATGACAGATCAGGATACGGAAATATTTCCCTCATTATTACTGTATAGAAACTTAACTAATAATTGTAAATAAAATTCTGCTTTCTTAGTTAATTTGTGTGGAAATATTACGCAATTGTTAAACCTTTTGTGAGGGTAAACTAATCAAGGGTAACCAAGTACTTTTTGCTTCACTGGGCGCAAACGAATAGTTACTAAAAATGTATGCATGTGCTTGTCTTAGTTGTTATTATGTGTTTGTGAGAATATGTACTAAAGACCTAATAAATATTGACCAGATCTGAAAGTGCGAGCATGTAAGAGGCAAAAATTAAATCCACAGTTCCTAAAGCAATATAAGTTTGCAGTTATATATTGTTTTGATTTTGGATTATAAATCTCAAAATAACTGAAACTCTACTTTTTTAAAAAGGTATCTAGTATAAAATCTAAGTAAATATGTGCAATATAATTAAACACGATAAAGCAAACTCATGTTATCTCATTCGCTTTTGTTTGGACCGGAGGATTCATTATATTGAGCTTCAACTGTATTTATATTATTTTATGGAATATAACTCAGCTAGAGACTGAAGCTTTAAGTGGCGTTAAGTGAAAACTCTAATATAACATTTCTTGTTCTTATAAAACAGAATAATCTCTGTTTTTTTAAAATTTCTAATGCATGTTTACTAATTTTGCCTATGAATAATTGCAGTCCTTACAATTTATGCAAATTCTTAAAAATATTTAAATTTTTTTTATAGAATTGTTAAAATTGGAGGTGAGTTTTATCATTGAATAGCTTTTTCTGGAGTCCTTAAGCATGGCAAGGATACCAGTAATGAGTGTATCAGCATCCATTAATGATCCTGTTGCTGTTATGAATACTTACTGCTCATATGTATCAATGTTCATAGATCCTGTTGCAAGTAAGTTTAATAATTAGTCATTGGGAATTGAAAAATCAGAATTTATTTTCTCTTGAAAATTTCTCATAGCAATTTAGTATTTGAGATTACATAGATATTATATTTTGTACTAAGGATGTAGCTACCTAATGAATAACTATATACTTATGGCTCATGTTACTTTGTTGGTAATGTTTACAATTCTCATACATTGATATTCACAAAAAATAAAATAACCAAAGTAATATACTTATAAATAAATCTTACTTATCTACTTAAATCATACTTACTTAAAGATAACTATATACCTATAAATAAATCATTGTATTTATCTGCACCTGATCAAAAATCATACTTAAATATTCTTACTTCTCATTTTTAATTTAATCAAATCCACATTTCTTTTTAAAGCAAAACCTTGATCAAATATATTTTATGCATTTATTGTAGTAACCTGTAATTATAGCTTATTTTATTTTTTATTTATTTATCTGTCATTGATTCACTTTTCCTATTGATTTTTATATTGCATAACTTTAATTTTCTCTTTTCTTTTCCTTTATAGAGGAGGAAAGTAAATTGAAAGCTTTGCCAGAATTGAGTGGAGAGCTTGAAGTAAGGTTTAAATTTAATATAGTAAAATGTTATATTCAGAATGTCATTGTATGGGGAATTCGAAATTTATTTTTTCAGTTTCAGAAATGACAGTTCATTTTTCATAATTTTGCAGATTATATATGCCATAATTAAAATCATTGTGCCGTTAAGCCCAGCATTCAAATCTATTTTGACTACCGAATTACAGGAACCTTTTCAAACCCCTCCCCATTTTCTAGATATTTAAATTTGCCTCCAATTTTTTGGTTTCATTTTTCACTTTTTTACCAATTTTTTTTCTTTTACATTAAATGCAATTGGCAGTTTAGTTGCCCATTTATTGATAAATCTATTTATTTAGAAATAAACGTTTTAGCACCAATTGTATGAAGATCATTGAATTATTTAATTGAATGGCAAATAAGAATTTAAATTCTAAGAATTAAGGAGCATTCAAGTGATATGTTTAGCTCAAAAGCTTTTTAAAAACTGTTTAAGCAAGTTGAGACATAAAAACACTGTTTATCCTCCCTCCTATATTAGTATTAATAGACTATTAATGATAAACATGTTATTAGTTTTATTACTCTAATGAAGAAAAAGAAATATTTATTTTGATACATTACAGTTTGAATTTGAAACCTAAAAACTAGAGGCACACCATTGAAATTAAGCGTGCAATGTTTATAAAAATATTTTTTTTAATAATAAATAATTAAATAAAAAAATTTGAATAGATGTTTGACTAACAATAATAAAAAGAATATTTTAATAAAATATTTGTGTTTTAATTTTGTAATAAAAGTATCCTTTTATTTTTTCAGACTATTATTAGTGATCCACAATATCCTTCATTTTTGGATCAGGCTATAAAAATTTTCATCAGAATTTTAGGAGATGAAGAACCACAGTTCATTGCTGAAAAAACCACCCATGTATGTATTTTCATGTCATGCCAATGGATCATTTTGTATATTTTAATGTATGTATTTTTATATCTATCCTGTATTATTTTTTATGAAGGTAGCCAATCTAAATTTTTTTTCTTTACTCTTTTATATTTTTTTTTTATTCATACGTTGTCAATTATTTAGTTTACATAGCTGATGAACTTAATGAACACAGTTAATAGTCATTGATATGGGTTTAAGATAACAAAATTTGAACAGTATTTAAAAAAATAATCCCATTGTTGCTAATGTCTGTAGATTATGTAGTGTGTGTATGAAATCAACCTCATTTTAATGTCTTGGCAGAATAATCAGGTTTTCTCTATTTACGCTTGATCTCAGTTTGTTTTTATATTCAAGACTGCTGTTTTTAAAAATTAGATTAAGTCAGGGTTAGTAATTGTCCTGATGATCCTGATATAAAGTATTTTATCCGTATTTGTCCTGAATTTTGTGTGTGTATTGAATATTCGATTTTCCAGGAATGAAAATGCAGATTTTTGAGAAAGTAGATTTAAAGAATTGAAAAATTTTGATCCAATATCCTTTTTCTTTCTTTTTTAAGTGCTTGTCAAAATCGCAATGTTTGGTAGCTCCAATATAGGGACTGTCTATTGATTATTTACTTGGTTTAGAGTCTTACCCAGAGGATTCATTGTTTCAACCTCTTTGGGAATTAAGTCATTCAATGGAAAGGAAAATTGATAAGCAATTTTGCAACATCAAATTTTTATGATGTCGATTTCAAGGGTGATATGCTTACTTATTATTTTCACCAAATACAATAAAAAATCTTGTAAGATTTCCCAGTTGCTCAAATATTGATTGTTTTCTTTCATGTGATTTCAGTCAACAAGCAGTTATAAAACTTTTAAATGATGAATTAGGGGATTGCTTGCTAAAATTAGTGTTCTACATAAATGTTAAGTGACATATTCATTGCATTTTTGTTTTGAGATCATTGAAACCCTACTTTAAAGAGATTAAAGAAATCTTCAACTCAATTACACATTTGAATTATATATTTGTATGAGTAAAATATTGACGAATTGATATTGTTCATTTTTTTGATGCAACAGTCCCATTAAATTTTTCCATGTTTGGATTTGGAACTATTATTTGTTGTTCTGTATTGATAAAATTATTCTGGAAACTGTTAAAACTTTTTGCTATGAACAAGTAATTTCTTGCTGTGAAATTTTATTTCGTTACTATTAAGTAGAGTAAATTCTACTTTTTAACTAACTGTTTCAAAAAATGCTTTGCTGTTCCAAATGTGTTCTAATTTTGTTCTGTTTTATTTATTTTTAAATTGCTGTCTTGATTTGTTCTTTGCCCTGCTACAAAGCTTACTTAATGTCTTCATCTTTGGCATTTTATTTAATAATAATGTGCATAACCTTTTTTTAAATTTAAATATACAGTAGAGAACTGATTATCCGGAATGATCGGGACCTTCGCGATTCCGGATAACTGATTTTTCTGGTTTTCTGAATCGCTACAAAATGCCGTTTTATTAATGTTTATAAAACGAAACTAAGAAATTATTTTGAAATAGTTTTAGAAATAATAAAAAATGATAAATAATTATACACTTAAGTTTAAATAAGGAAAGAAATTATGAAATAAAAATTATATACAGGCTGATATATGTTACTAATGTTATTATTAACATTAATAACACATATAAGCTATTTGTGCTTATGTGAGATTCGTCTACAAAAAGCTTTTGATCCGTCCTCTAAATTAGTTCTTTCGTCAACTCGATGCGCCGTAAGCTCTAAATAACAAAATAGGCTCAAAATCTTGTAGGGACAAAAAATTTTTTTTAAAGGAAGAAAATTAATATCCGGTTCCGAATTTCATTTCGGTTATCTGGTTTACCGGTTTTCTGATTTCCGGATAAGAGGTTCTGCACTGTATTTGCAGTTTTTTGTCTGTTCAATTTATTAAATGTTTTTAAATTTACTAGCAAATAGGATATTTAATATTTTCATCATATAATTTCAAAATTAAATTTGAGAACTCTACTTTTTGTTACATAATATTTTAACCATGAAAATCTGTCTGTTGTCTAATATTTTATTGACAATTTTTTTAAAAGGTAACTAATTGAACCTAATTAGAATTTTAATATTATGATATATTGTCACGAAACATACATATTTCACAGTGTATTACAATATTTTTAAAATTTCACTATTGTCTTTGGTGAAGTTTTTGTTAACCAAACAAAATATAAAATTCAGCTTAATATTATAATCTATAATTATCAATCTCAATAATACTCCTAAAATTATCACATTCTATATTTATCATTTTCAATAAAGAGTGCAATTTTTTGATGTTCAAGAACTGTAATTGATAATTGGGTTTTTGATATTTATCATTATTGAAAATTATATACTCAATATGTATTCAAATTTACTCAATATAAATCAAATATTGTTGTCACAATGGTTAAGAATGAATGTTTTGTTGCTCAACCCTAGTAACTAATATGATTCTTGTTGTGGTTTTGAAAATATTTGTTTAAAATTATTGTTTAATTATATATTTTAATTTGCTTTTTTATTACGATTTCCTTAAAAATTATTTCCACTGAACTGTATTATTTTTTTCGGCAACTTCGTTAGACAATTTTAGAAATAATTTACAGGCTTCCTACAAATCATCATTTGCTACCTCATAACAAACCAATCTTGTCCTTAATGTTTAAATCATTGGAAGGAAGAAACAACTATCTTCTTAATAAGTGACTCAATTATATATATAATATATATTATTTAAAAAAAAAACCTAATAATTAATAAGTTGTGTATAAATCAACCAGCAGGTATGTATATTTCCAAATAGTAACAATTATTGATCAATTAAATTTCCCTAACATTATAGGCAGAACAAGAACTTACAGTATGTTTTTGTTCTGCATGCATTGTTATTTGTTGAGTATAATTGAAATACATAAAAATCAAGAGCATGGATCTAGAAAAGTTTAAACTTCTAGGAATTCATTTTTATTAGCCATACTGTGTGATTAAAAAAAGTGCTAAATTTTACTGAAATATTGGGTGCAAGCTGAAATACTGGTACAAAAATTGTGCAAAGTAAAGTTTATTTGGTCAAAATTTTGAATAGCTGAAAATATTTTTTGAAAACTAAACATTTTCTTCTCTAGCATTATTAATTTACTTCTCTACATTTATAATAATAAATAGAAGATTAAGAGTTTGTTTTCCCTTCAAATTGTGGGAAAAGAGTGGTGCTTTTTGTTACAGAATTTAAAGTGAAAATAAAATTTGACTTACTGTGCTTCATCTCAAAACCGAATTTTTTATTTTAAATACTTGATAAAATTTTTTTTAATTTTTTCAGAAATTACCTTACTACAAAAGATTGATGTTTACACCTGAACAGATTAGCTAATAAAATGTTGCTATTTATAATTTTGCTGCTTTTATAAGAACTTGAAGAGAAATTTTGCAGATTCCTTTCTCAACATATATTTCCTCTATATGATTAATGTTAGAATTTTGTGACTTCTCCTATACTGATATTATTGCTGTTTTATTGTTATTCAAGTATTCATATCAAATATTCTTATTTCAGTTGCAAAATGAGGAAAACATTAGTAGTTTTTAGAATAATCATAGAATTTCATAAGGCCACCATGCAGTGTGGAGGTAAGAATGTATTATTTATGTAATTTATCATTTTCGATGAATTTGCTTTTGTATTAATATATTTCACAGTACAAATTCATTGTATTAATATATTTATGTGTACAGATTCATTGAAAACTATTTTATTATTCAACTTTTGTAAATTTTTGCATTATATTGAGTGGAAGATTTTTCTTTAGGTTTATTAACTTGCATTTGCATGGGGTGAAGAATATTGACTTGAGCGGATATCATTTGATAGCATACATAATAATACTAGTTATTTATCATTTTACATTACTCTGGCTACTATATTTTTTATTAATGCATCTTAAACTAAATTTTTTTTTTAGATTTTTCACTTGTTTGATTAATTAGTTATTTTGCACTTAAAAGTTCAAATGTCGGCTTCCATTACATTGATAAATGCTTCTATGAATAATTCTTAATAAAATGAGGGAATAAGAGGAGGAAAGAGAGGAAGATAATTCTGCAATGATTCAATTTATAAATAAACAGAGGATATAGAAACGCTGCAGAGGACTAGTTTTGCAATGAATCATTTTGTGAATAAAGTTTATTGGCCTATAATTTGCAATATAAATGTTAATAATCACAAGGAGTGAATTCATTTTAAATTCTCTGTACAGAAATTTATTGGCAAATTGTTCCTAAAACTTTTTTGTTTTAATTTCTCAAGATTTTTTATAGACATTGTTTAAAAGAATTCCATATTTTTTTGCTTTTACTGAATGAAAAACTCTGAGGAATATCAATGAGTATTGTTTTTCCACTCCAAATTGCTCTGATCCTTAAATATATATATATTTTTTTTGAATTATAACAAGTCTTAATCATAAATTTATTTTTTAAATATTTTTTTTTTTAATAACGGCAGGCACTAGAACTTTCGTTCTTCACCTCGAAAGATGCCGGAAGTGTTGCTCATTTAGTGTTGCCCATTGGGCACCTGTGAGTCACGGAGGCGAGCAACACTACCCACGCCACACTGCCACAAACCCGTTCATAGGGCGGGCCACATTCACACATCACACACAACAGAGGGCAACACAGAGAGATAGTTTTTTCAAAATATCTTAAAACAATGTTATATATTCAACTCAAAAAATAGTCTAAGGAATATTGACGATATCTTGTATAATGGCTTTTATTACTTTGTTACAGTTATTAAAAATAAAACTTACTTAATTGAAACAAATATTTTACTTTGGAGTACAATGTAACCTATTACGTTGATCAGCCTACTAGGTATACCAAGACTATAATTACCACCACTCTTGCATCACCTCTTAAAATACTGACCACTTCTCAAACTAGGCCATCAAATTGGTACATTACAAATTGTCAACTTGCATGATTTTTGCTGCAAAATCTATTTTATTGATTTTGATTGTTGTTTTATCCTTGACTGACTTGTCATTTTAATTTCATTTTTATAATGTTCACAGTGAAAATATTGCAGAAAATATTGAGAGAAACTTTTTAAATTAACTACTTGCATGCAGGGTATACCTTAATGTCTTTCTTTTTTACTTATTTTACGTTTTATACCAAATGATCAAGTCAGAGTGGTTTTATACAGTAAAACTCTTCAGTTTTGTTTTTTGCTTATTCAATTGAATTCTGTGAAAGAATTTTATGTTCAATGACTCTGTGAGACAAAGTTAAACATTAAATTTTATACATTTAATTTGTTCTTTGGGAAGAATGCAGACAAAATGCAGAATGTATACAGAAATTTTGTTTTGTTTTATTTTAGGAGCAATCCATCTTTCAACAAAGATGTTGAACATGTTGACTTTATGCATGCATAGATAAAAACATTATCTTTTCTGGCTTACCTAGTTAGAATATATGAAGTGAGTAGGTCAATGACTAATATATTAAGAATCATTCTCTACTTTTTTTTAATAAATATTTTTTATAAAGTCAAGCTAATGAAAATAAAAATGGAGTATATTTATATTTGAAGCCAGGTAAAAGAAAGGCTTGATATGATGATATATTTGGTTAATCCCTCCACTCGTATTTCCTTGCTTACTTGTTTATTAGTTCACAATGAAGGAGGAAATTAATTTTTTTAGAACTATTTTAACTACCGGAATTTTTTCTGATTATTAAATTCTTTTTATTATGTTGTGAATTAGAATATTTAGAAAATAATTTCTGAGCATTTTATTTAATTTTTTCTACTGTGATTTAACTGTAAACTTTGGTGAATCTTTAATTTAAAATTTTGCAAAAATAAAACATAAATGTAGTAATCAATTTAGTTTTTAATCAATTTAATTTAGTTTAAAATTCAATTTTGAAATGCCTTTTTCTACATTTTGGTTTTTACAATTTGCTGCTTTTTAAAATCAAGTGTTCTAAAAATGGATGTGATTTTAATAGGCAGCATGCACTGTATTTATGTTTATCTGAGTAATATTATCCTAAATTAATTTAAATTTATTTTAATTTATATTAAGATAATAATTTAACCCAGCTGTGATTTTAATTTGATTTTTTTTTTGTAGAATGTTGTGAATGAATATTCCTCGCAGTTTGCTAAAGGAATGATAGGATTGTTGTGTCTATGTCCGCAAGAAGTGGCCCACTTGCACAAAGAATTGCTTGTAGCAGCCCGTCATATTTTAGCCACAGAGCTAAGAAATAGTAAATGTTTTTTTTATTACTTAAATGTGTCTTGTTTTTTTCCTTCATCCTGAAACATGTTTTTTTTTCTTTATTTTTAAATAAATGACTCATTTTTGTTAAAAAAATTTTTAACTTTAGATACCATTTGAAAAATATTGTTTGAAATGTTCTCTGTGTGTACTAGTTCTCCTTATTTTTTGAGAAATTCTTTAATTTTTGTGCCATTTTCAGAATCGTGCATATCTCACTAATTATATCTAAAAATTAATGACTCTAAGAAAAGGAAATTTAATAAAGATATAATAGCAGGATTTTTTTAAAAAAGAATAGCAAAATTATATTTTAATACAGTCTTTTTCACTCTTAAATAATTTATAATTTAAATACTATTATTTTAAAAATAAACTGTGTTATTATATATCTATTATTTGATAAGATAGAGTGAAATACTTTTCATAACTATGAACGGACAATTAAAAAAAGGTCAACAAAATTTACATCTTCAATGTCTCTAATATGTCTAGTGTTACCCAGTCAAATTTTATTTAAGATCATTCAAAGCATTGCTCTTGCCCTGCTTGTGTGATTTTAATATAAATGTGGCATTGTGTTCATGATAATCAAATGTGGAAATAAAAATCACTAGTTTTTCTCTCTTTATGTTTCTCTGAACTGATTTTCTTTTCTTTTTTCACTGCCATGTTTAAATGAGTGATTTCTATGGTAGTCATCAGTATCATTATTAGATTAGAAACCTAACTGGAAAATATTAAAAAAAAATTCTATTTTTATTACTATAAAAATCCCTAAAATTCCTTATGTGTAAAATATTTAGTACATTATGCAAAAATTATCATGAAATATATAATATTTCATGAAATCTACTGGATTTTTTCCTATGCTGATGGGTAAAAAACTAATTTTTTGATGATACAGTGAAACTTGTGTAAGTTGACCACTTGTGGTGCATTGTTTAAGTGGTCAACTTATAAAGGGGATGGGTCATTGTTTACTATTTCATTTCCTATATCATGTTGCTATATATTTAATTTTTTTTTCTTTTTTACTTGACTTAAAAATTTTATTCAGAAAATATGCAAATGAATATCTTAAGAAATGTGTTTAAACCTGAATGAACTTCAATTTGATACATATAATTCTAATATTTAACTAATTTTTTTGAAAAAAATTATTTTGTTAGTCATGCATGGGAAGTGCTTAATAAATATAATTTCTTAAAATATCAGAACACGAAAACATGTAATTTGAAAACTTCAACAAAATAAAATTATTTGAACACTTTAAAATTTATTTACTTCACTTAAAGATCAAAGACCATAAATAAAGGATCAAAGCATATTTCAGAGCATTCATTTATTCAAATGCTCACTATTGCAACTGGAAGAGCAACTTTTCAACTATCACACCTGTCTTCAATGAACTGAAGAAAGAAATGGTCAAAAGCTGACCCCTTACAGTTTTCCCTGATGGTCAACTCACAAAAGGGTTTAGATTAGCTTTTTACACTATTTCACCAAACAAGTGAAATTTTAACATACATTGCCAGAATGACAGAAAATTTTCTGAATTTTTTTTCCTGGTCAACTTATGAGGGTTTTAGAATAAAATCTCATAATACTCCTAGATAAAATTGACTTATTTCAGTGGTCAACATACAAGATAGACAGGTGGTCAAGTTACAAAGGTTTTTGCTTCTTTATATTATATAGGAAAAATTCTGTTCTTGATAATTGAGGTCAACTTATACAGGTGCCCAACTTACAAGGGTGGTCAACTTTGCAGGTTTCACTGTACATTCAAATCACTTATGTCACCGAAAGTAAGTACTTGAAAAATGAGAACTATACAAATTTCTTGCCATTTTATTTTTTGAAACTTACTGCCATGAAATAATAATAAAAAACAAGTTTGTTAAAGCTGGGGGTTTGTTAAAGTCTGTCGTCTGGGAGCAAAAGTATCTACAAATTTAAATTTTATGTATATTTTTTCCTTAAAACTCCTTTTTGGAAATTAAAATTAAAGCTCTTGTTTTTCTTGTTTTTTTTTCCATTTAACATTTTGTACTCAGCATTTATTTTAACATTTTGAGCTTAATAAAGTAATAAAAGTTTCAAAATTTAAAATAAATGTTGTGATTGTCCAGTTTTGTAATACATATTGCATTGTTTAATTTTATTGAATGATTTCAGAATACAAAATGTTTCGTGTGTGATGGTTGCATCTTTCGAAGGTTTTCTTTATATCTATGAACTGAACGTTGAAATGGGAGGAGATCGTATTTAAATAAAACAGCACAGGTAGAAAATATTTGCTTCTTAAAAATAATAATAATAAACATAAATTGTGTATTATTCTCTTCAGAGTTTGGAATTTTTTGGCTGGTAAAACTTCCCATAAAAACTGTGGTTGGTTAGATTTAAAAACATCAAAACTATCTCAAATTTTTTTTTGTTCGTAGTTAGACTTTTTTTATATATATATTCGTCGTTGAACAATCTACCCAATTTTGGGTTTACAACTACTGCTAATGTTCAACTCTGTAGCCTTGTAATGTTGAAATAATCCAGAAGACAATGAAACTCCTGTATCAGTACTCCCAGAGGTATGATTTGTTATCGGAACATGGCGGACTTAGTGACTCGACAGATTTAACGTGCATCAGTCACCATTTACTACACCAGGAGTCTTCGGCCGGCGCAGATCGAACCCATGAACTCTTAGTGCTTCAGTGCCCTACCAACCAGGCTATCCCAGCCTCATAGTTAGACTTTGTAAAAGTTAAGCATTACATAATTATTGAGTAGCAATAAACTGTTACTCAAAATTAACTATGCATTATTTAAATTATTATTAAATGCTGATCAAAGTGTTTAAAAATAGTTAGTTTTTTCCTTTCTCATTTAGTTAGTCTAAAAACTAGACTTTGCAAGGTAGTTTTGTGTTATACAACTAAGACAATGGCCTTTCATCAAGATGTAATTTCTGGAGTTTTCTTTTTTAAGATATATTTAAAAGAAATAACTGCTTTTATAAATGACTCAAAACTGTTATGAGATTTAAGGATAAAGTTATTAGGGGTCTGTCTAGGTTTTTTTGAGAGGTACCTATTTTGTGAAAATTTAGGCATAATTTGTGAAAATTAAAAGTTACATCAAAAAATCAACACAAAAATATGGTAAAATAAGAAATTATTTTCAAAAATTGTCACTACAAATAAAAATCATATATGACTAGTAAAATTTTTTCCATGTACAGTAGAGCGCCGATTATCCGAACTGCTCGGGACCGAATGCGGTTCGGATAATGAAAAGTTCGGATAGTTGGAAAGTTGTTTAAAATCTAGTTTAAATAATTATTATTTATGCACTTGCTTCCCTTCGCACTTTTTCTAGGCTTAGGACTAGCAGTACTATCTAAAATAGCTCTGGCGTGTTTAAAACTTTATTTTTTTTAAATTTTTAAATATTTGTTTGTATTACTTTTTCTTCAATTTGAATTATTTTTATCATATTTCTGCTTTTTTATAATTTTTTTGTCAATTACTGATTTTTACCACATTTTTCTTCATTTTCCATTGCAAAAGTATCCAGCAAAAACTTTTGTTTCAAAGAAGATGCTCTTTTTGTGCAGCCATATCCTTTATTCTTTTTAAATAAATCAACTGAACTGGATCAACATCATTTTGACATTCTAACCAATTCATTGCAAAATCTAATGAATTGCATGCTTCTACATGAGAAAGTCCACTATCTTGAACTTGATCACCTACTTCTTCCTCTTAGTCTGTGGAGTTTCGATTTTCATTCAAAATTTCAACAACAATTTCATCATCAATTAGAATTTTAAATCCTGAGTCATTTTCATTGTCTCGACACCAGTCTTCTATTTCTTCTGCTGTATAACCTGTCACCTTTTCACCCAAAAGAAACTTCATTCAGAAACTTCAGTTTTGTTTGTTTTTCTGTTAAGAATTTTATTCCAAGATTTAAGATTCTGCACTGTTATTACTAATCATTAACCATAAGTGACAACTACCCATCCCCCAATTGTAGAACTTCAGCACTTGTCTATTCATAAACACCTTCCTCGTTCCAACCATTGTAGGTTGTCAAAATGAAGCTCGCATTCTTTTAAGATAATTTTCAGTTGAAGAGGGCTAAAGGGGTATGTAGGTTAAACTGCTGAAAAATGCTGTAAATTAAATATGGTCTTCAGATGTGGTTGATATTTTTCATTCTTCTAAATTTAGAAAAATTGTCGATAAGTTAAAAAGTATTCTAAACTTTAAAAAAAAAAAGGCGAATTCGGACGTAGCTCGGATAATTGGACGTTTGGATAATAAGGGTTCGGATAATTGGCGTCTTACTGTATTAAAAAATAATTTCGCTATTGTTAAATTTTGGGCTTAAAATTGTTTCCAAATTTAAAAATCCATTGTTCACAGTTAAATTTCAACTTGCATTTAACAGTACTAGAAATAAGTTATTTTCATTAAGAGAAAATTTTCGACTAGGTCATACAGAAAAAAGTTTCACAGAGAAAAAAACGTTTCATACAAAAATGCAGATCTCTTTGAATAAATTTACAATAATGTTGAAGATAATATTCAAATGTTTAGAATAATGTTTGAATTTTGTCTTCCTTTAAAGTTTATAGAGAGAGAATCTCATTGCTTCATTTTAAAAAACTCTAGAATTTATAGTTTCTTTATGGGGATACAAAAACAAAATTTTAAGAGGTGGAGAATCTTTGAACTTACTTATTTTAAAGTATTTTGTTGAACTACCGTTTTTTCAAAAGTTGGTTTTGTGAAGGTACCGCTAAACGGTAGTAAATTTACCCTGAACAGACTACTGGTTATTCTTTGAGTTTGTGCAATTCATTTTCTATATACACATGCATTTTAAAACTTATTTAAATAATCTTAAAATTTCAGGATTTCAATTGGTTTGTTAAGCAAATATTTTAAATTAAATGTTAGTGAAAAGTATAG